TGAGAGCCAATCCCCGAGCAGGACCGTGGAGCCTGGCCGTTTCTGCGCAGGCGCAAGCTTGCCCCATGCCGCCTCTTTAGCACCCCATTCCTCCTCCAGGGCGGGTCCGACTAGCAGCTCCATTTTACAGCACAGCATGAGGCCACGGAGCTTACAAAGTGAAGGCTTGGCAAGACCACCCTAACTGTGCAGGTCAGGGAAAGATGCATGCCAGGTACATACAGCTCACCTTGAGGGCTGTGCATCCTTGCCCACCTCCTTCCAAGGAAACAGCATCTGAACTCCAGGGCCCGTCCTGCTTTGTCCCAGGAGGGGCCAGAGTGCCACTTGAACAGCCCAGGCCCCAGTTGGGGCCACTGCTTGAACAGTCACTTTAAGTTTCTCATTTTCTGAGAATTGCAAAGGCAGGATGTGAGGGAGGTGTGGAGGAATCCTGGGTCCTGGCCCGCCCACCCCAGGCATCTCACCCAGTTGGGGCAGAAACCATGTGAATGGGAAAGGCTAGCGATCCTTCCTTGTGGCCCCAAACAGAAAAGGAGCAGCCAATCAAGAGACCCAGACCAGGATTACGAATGAGGCAATTTATTAACTCGGCATCATTTGTTCTAATGCTTCTTGTTGGCAGCTGCCACCTGTGGAAAAAGATGGAAGAGTAATTAAAATCTGCAACGAGGTCTGCGATCTGGCACTCTGTAATAGCTGCCCCCTGCACACGGGACACCAGGCATGCTGGTGCATCGTCTCTCACACCTATTCATCTGTCTAACCCTGAGTCCCAGGTTCCTCCCATTTTACAGAAGCCTGAACTGGGACTCAAGGAGAGGAGCACAGGAGTGGGATTCCAACAGAGCCCACTGCCCTGTCATCCGGAGTGATGTCCATGCCAGGCCCTGCTCTGGAAAAGCTCACCTCTCCTCCTTCCAGGCCACCTCCGACACCGAGGACTGAAACCTTCTATTCCTTTCTGACACTTGACAAAGTGACTAAACACGCCAAGGCTCCCCAACAATAGGGGTTCTCGCTGCTATAGCTCACTGGATCCTCACCACCCTCTGAGGTAGGCAATAGTAGATCACTCTAGACAGGGAGACTGGCTCCAGCTGAATCAACCCTGCCCGAGTGTCTGCCACTCAGTCATCTGGATGGAGACCTGAGTTTTGAGCCAGCCAGCCTTCTCTATCCTATGCTCAGTAAGCATGAAGGAGGAAACAGGCAGCCACAATCTGTGGAAGGCTGGCCTGAGAAGAGGGAGTCATGTTCAGGAATAAGCCCTGCATGAGGAGCAGCCCAGTGGCACCCCAGGCCTAGGTTCCCTTCACCTCCGCACCTTCATTTCCATCCAGTTCCAACAAGACATCAAATGCTTTCTCCTGCTTGATGCTCAGGAAGCCCTCCCCTGTCCTCCCACCTCCACCAGCCTGGGCTGTACCTTCCAGGGGAGGAACTTCTGATCTGATGAAGCCCAGGCTCAGAGAACACCCAGACAGTGACGAAGGGACCCAGTCCCAGCCTGAAGCCGGGTCTCACCTGTCCGGCGATTCTGTCCAGATCCCTCTGTCCCTGAGGTGTCAGTTTGCGGCCCCTGGGGAATAGAAGGGCCACATAGGTTCGGTGAGTACAGGCTTTCAACCCCTCCCTGCTAGGCACCCCCTGGATGTGAGCCAGGCTTCCCAAAAATGCACCTGGCCACAGGTCCACATGCTGCCAGTGAGTCCCACTGCTGCATTCTAACAAGCTGGGGGCAGGAATGGGAGCCCCCCTGGGAGCTGACGGGGTGTCGTTTGTGCAAGCATTAGATCAAAAGCCCCCAAAAAATCAATTGGGAAAAGTTAACGAGCAGGCTAATGAAAGTGGACAGTCACTAAATTACCTTCCTGGAGCTCACTAGGCAGTTAGCCAGAGGTCCGGGTGAGGCCCTTGGCTGTTGGCTTTTCTGTAGAAGCCCCTACTCACTCGAGGGGCAGGTGCGGGCTGTGCAGGGACTGACCTGGCACCTCTCTGCATGGGAGGAGTAAGATGGTCCTCGCCAACTTCATTACAGGTAGTCTGGCCCCAAGGCTCCTCCATCAGCCCCCTTTCCCAGCTTCCCCCCTCCCTTGCTCACCCGTCCTGGTCCTTTTCCACCATTTTCAGCCCCTCGAGGGCTTGGAGGACCCGGCGGGCCACACTCTTGGAGCCTCTGCTGAAGTGGCTAGGCATGACACCATTTCTCTGTCGTCCTCCATATATCTTGGTCATGGAGCCAACCCCAGCGCCGCCCCGGAGGTACAGGTGCCGTGCTGTGGAAGCTGGATGGGGTGTGAGGGAGACTTGAGGGCCCTTCTCAGGCGGACTCCCCTCCACAACTGAGGGAAGGGCCTCGCTGAAGGTCACACATATACAGTTGTGTGTGGAAGCTAATCTCTCTTTTATAGTCAGGGAAAATGAACATATACACAGATACCCAGCAGCTGACCCCCACCCCTCCCTGGCCAAGCCACGTTGCACCCTGGGCCCGGCCTAGGAGACAGGGACACCCAGGCAGTGGATGGACGGCCACGGCCATGTAAATGGGTGGGGAGTCCCCCTCCGGGCAGACCTTCTTGGCTGTTAATGGTCTAGTTGTAGTGCTGTGAAGCTGGATCCAAGGGGTCTGTGGGTATAGCCTAGAAATGTTTAAGCCACAACTGTCCCCCATCTCCATGTATCTAAGGGGCAGGGAAGTGGAGCCCCGAGGAGCTCATGAGCAATAGGGGGACAGAGCCGACATCCTAACCTGCAGTGTGCATCAACCCCTCTGTGGATACAGGGCTTCTTGTCCCTAGACTGGCTTAGGCCAAGTCCCTGGTCCACCCCAGCCAGCCTTCTTGGAAGAGCTCACACTTCTGTTTCTGTGGAGTTCTTGCCTGCCAGGCTTTGTGCCACCTGCTTTTTGCATTCTCTCCTCAGAGATATTAAAACAGCCTTAGGAGCTGGCCTGATGGTGTGGCCTTGGCAAATCACTTACCCTCATCTGAGAACCAAGAGTAACGATCCCTCAGACATGGGTTATTGTGAACATGTCACATGCGAATGTGTCAAATGCTGTTTCCTTTACAGAAAAGGAAACAGGATTCAGAGTGTACTCACTGGCTTTGTGTCACACAGCTCTGGAGGGACAGTTCCTCCAGACTGCTCTAGTTTTCTATCTCATGGGGCCACTGAGCTTTGAAGGAATTGGGGCCAAGGTGCCCAGACTTCAGTCATCACATGGCCCTGCCTAGTTGGCAGCTCAAAGGTGGGGAGACTCTGGGCTTCCCTGGGGCTTCCCGAGACCAGCATGGGGAGTAAGAGCCAGGTGCCGGGCCATGGCCACGACCATGACCATGGCGCTGCAGCCCTCTGATCATCTCCAGATACAGCGAGGGGCCAACAGCACACCCTCTCTAGGGTCTCACTGCCTCCAGCCTCTGCTCACTTAAAAGCTACTCTCCTTGGTTCTTTTTATCCCAACCTTCCTCCTCATTCTACCCACTATATACCACTATTTTATCCCTCTTCCAGGCATTAAGCCCCCACCCCCTGCCAAGATGAAGAGACTCCCAATCTTTCTACCAGGAGAGTGACATTACTGGAAACCCTCACCCTTTTAAGACCAGCACAAATACCCAACACCTACAACCACCCCTCCTGTGCCCGTTCCTGGCCATGCCCTGGCCCTGGGTAGAGATCTGCTCTCTTACTCAGACCGTACCCAGGGCCGGGGAGAGGGCATCCTAAGGAAGGCCGTAAGACAAACACTCCTGAGTACACAGATGCAAGAGGCTGCACACCAGAAATGGGACACCCAAACTTGGTCTCGCTGTGCTGGGACCAGCACTCAGACACGTCCCAGCCTGGGCTTGATATGGAAAGGGGTGGCCAAGCCCCGAGTAGAGAGTTTGAGTTTCAACACTGATGCTCATCAACTGTGACAATCTGCCCACCTTTCAGGAGGTTCGGTGACGGTGCTGAAGGGGACAGCTTACCTAAATCTTGAGCAGTGACTGGCAGAGAATAAAGTCCAGTAAAGCCTATTAGTTTCTTCAAAGGAGTACGGTGGGTTTAAATTTTTTTTTAAGGCCGTATAAAATGACCTTGTGCGCTCTCAGATATTATGAGGGAGAGGAAGGGGAAGCTTTAATGGTCAAAATACTGAGCTCTACAAAGCACTGATCCCTTTTTCACCCTCCTCTCCTCAGCCTTTGGGGCTCAGGCTCCAGTCCCACCTTGTGAAGTTGTGAGCACACAAATCCAAGCCCTCCAGCTTGTTTATGAGGGCCATAGAGAGCCAGGTAGACCAAGCAACACTTCCACAGCTCAGCATCTCAACTGCTGCTTTTAGGTTCATTCTGGCCTCATTCTGACCTACTGACTTGTTAAATCAGGGAAGGAAGCCTCCCAGATGCATTTTGCCCCTGACCCTTCTCTCTAAATTTCTAAGGGAAAAACCACTTCCCTAACCAGCTCCTGCAATGCCTCCCAGGCCTCATTCCTTGCACTGACAAGGCATGATGAGTTGGGTGCTCAGTTCTGTGCAGGGGGAGGACCAGCCTGTCCTATAATAAAATGCACTCAGGTGTCTTAACTCAGCAGCTGTGCATCCTAACAAGACACAGTAGATTCTCACCTCCCTCCCAAGCAGGCCCTTTTGAGAATCCAGAGATTGAGAGGCTTGTCCAGGGCCACACTGCACCAACTGGTCTTCCCTTGACACCACTCCCCCGCTTAAGGCAGGTTCCTTTCTAGCCCTTCTTCATCCGTCACCCTCCACTACTGCCTGGTGACTCCTTACTCCTACAGCTCTGCCCCTCTTCCCGACTATTCTTAGGAGGGTCCTGCTCTCTTTATCCCCCATGTCCACTCCACATTGGCTCCTACATGACTCCAGACTTTACCACTGCCCACCGATTGCTACCACTACTGCACTGGGCTTTAACTCCCAGAGGGGGCGAAACAAGCCAAGCCCCATAACCCGATAAGGGAAAAAGCAAATACAGCACAGACCCTGCTTTGGGAGTCAGTCTGCCAAACGCTCCCAGGGTCACTCCACCTATCTGTGCCTGTTTCCTCTTTGGTCAATGAATGTCTCTTATGACTCAACTTGTCCAGACTATAAGCTGACCGCCAAATTAGTGGGAGCACTATTGATTAGACTGGCAAACTTTTCCTGTAAGGGGCCAGACAGTGAATATCTTAGGCTCTGTAAGCCATAGTCTGTCACAACTGCAACTCTGCCTCTGCTGAGGATGTGTCCCCAACAAAAACGTACACAGCAGACCTTGCTCTAGAACCATCATGCTATGCCAACAGGGCAGATGGGAAAGTGCAGTCAAAAAGAGAGCTTTGGAAACCCCAAGGGAGAGCAGGAGGGCAGGCAGAGGACACACCCCAGTGTGAGATGTTGGGGAGGAGGCATAGTGGGTAGAAAGAGGCCACAGCAAATGAACATGACCCAGGGACTGCACCCCATTTTCTGTCACTCTCTCCCCATCTAAAAAAAAAAAAATTATGAAATGCTGCCGAGGTCAGAGATGGAGGCCCCCTGCCCTTAGTAACGACAAGGATGGGGTGGACTGTGGCACCACTAGCTGACAGACCAAAATGTCCCTTAATCTCCCCAACATCAACTATAAAACAAAAAGCACCAGACCTGTTTGAGAGGTTTTTGATAGGTGCAGATTAAACAAAATATGTACATTCACTTGACCAAATGGGAAAAGCTATTAGATTCTTCGCCCAACCTTAGACCCAAAGCTGGCCTTGAGAGGTTTTCGATAGGTGCAGATTAAACAAAATATGTATATTCACTTGACCAAATGGGAAAAGCTATCAGATTCTTCGCCCAACCTTAGACCCAAAGCTGGCCTGACCGAATGACTCTTGGGGGCACTGCCAAAGAAATTCAGAACCAGGCAGCCTCGCTTCTCAAGATGGGTGATGGGGTGGTCGTGTCGTCCAGACTTCATCACTGTTGCGTAACCAGGGAAGTCAGGTCAACTTCTCTTTGCCAGCCCCATTTCCTTTCTAAATGCACAGTGGTGGGTGGGTAGATGTGCCATCCATGCTTTCTGCCTCAGAGTTGACCTTTTTGTCCTCAGGGGTAAGAGGCTGTGGTTGAGTTATGTTGGCACCCTAGTCATGTCTACGGCCTGATAGAGGGGACTCCACAGACATTGAGGCATGAGGGTGCTATCAGTCCACAAAGTACGTGTTCTGAAGTGCTGGGCAACTTGTACCAAAGCCAGCTCTTCTCAAGTTCATTATGAAATTCTGTCAATTTCCAAACTCTGCTTCTCACTGCACAGGAAGAAAGCTGAAGACTGGAAAGGCATAATCACCCCTCCATTCCCAAGTTAAGCTTTCATGGAGGTGACAGTTTGGAGAAACTTGAAATGTCAACAAGTGAGAACTAGCACTGTGCAGTCAGGGGCTACACTTGCAACAACCCTCCCAAGTTGTTATTACTGAAGATTAAGAAGAGACGGGGCTGGTAAGTGGTGTGACCTTAAGGTTTTCTTCTGATCATTTGGGACGTGTCAAGATTTAGAGCAAGGAGTGACCTGGCCAGATCCCCTGCCACTTAGGAACAGCTTGCTAGAGACAGAGCTACTGCGATGATCTGAACAATAAATAGAACAGCCGACTTTTCCTCAGTGGCTACTCTGCAACAGGCAGGCACTTTAAAGCAGTTTAACTGTAATCCACATTGGTGCAATCATTAGCCCCCTTTCAGAAATGGGGAAACAAGAAGCACAGACAGATGGAGATCATGCAATTAAGTGGTAAAGAATTGAACCCAGGGAGTCTAGACCCCATGGATATAGAAAGGATAATGCCTGTCTCTAAAACAAGCCACTTCTAAGCAAAATATGAACACTCAAGTGTCCCTGAGTTTCCCTCAAGGCTCGGAGGAAGCCACAGGTCCTCACACAAACCTCTTACAAAAGAAACAGATTCAAAGTGTGAAGTTACTGAATGTCACAAGCAGCATGCAATGACAGAGTCAAAGGTTTCTCCTCTCTGGCTATCTTGGAGACGCAAGGAGGAGCTCACAGTGGGGACAGGAGGTGCAGTCTGCACCAGGAGTCACCCAGTTTCCTACTACCTAGCTAAAGGCCCCAGTTTCTTACCAGCTCGTGTGTAGAACCAGTTCTCATCGTAGGGAGCAAGCTCTTTATGCTTGGCCAGCTTGACCGTGTCCACCCATTCAGGGACTTTCAGCTTCCCGGACCTGGGACCAAGACAGTCAGAAAGGCACAATTCAGAGTCTCCACAACTCCTTCATCCCCCAAATCCCCTTCCCTCAACGTGACTATCGGTTAACAGAGACCAGTATGTCCCAGAATATAAACACAGAAACACAAACGTGATCCGGGCCTCGGAGGCAGCAAGGGGAGTCTTCACACACTGAGATCTCCAATGTCTCCCCCACCAGAAGAGGGCACTGCGGACCCCGACGGGTCAGGCAAAGACCACAGCCCCCATCCACTTTGAAACCCAGTCCCCACTCACTTTTTGAGGAAGGCAGCCAGAGCTCTGACGAACTCCTGTTGATTCACGTCTTTTACAGTAACTCCAGGCATCTGCAAGGAGGACCAAGCATGTGAACACGAAACTGATGGGGACGACAGTGCCCGCCGCCCGCCCCTGACTTCCCAAGGCCCTACTTCTACAACGGGCCCGTATGGCCCCGGCGCCTGTGGGTCCTAGGGTTCACCGACGCCCACGGTCTCTGTGGGCCGCACAAGCACAGCCTGCCCACGTTTGTGGAGACACTGTAGGACCCCAGCCCGATTCTGGGGGCTCCCCGCGCTCCCTGTTGCCCACTAGCCCGTCTCGGTTACCGCGCCACCCCGGCATGTCCGGGCCTGCTGCTCGCACGTGGCTGCGGCTGCAGGGGGCGGGGCCGCCCCGCGCAGACACCCCGGAGCCCCTAGACACGCGTTTGGAGATGGGGAATCGGGAACCGACGCCCCGCGCCCAGCCTGAACCGGACCAACCACCTTACCGTGCGGCCTCCGCGCTGCCAGCCAGGGAAAAGGGAGCAACGGGGTTTCCCGGGCGCACAAATCGGGCGTCGGGTCTCGCGAGAGTTCCGAGCGATCGCGAGAGCACGGTTAGACCAGGAGGCTCCGCCTCTCTCAGGGCGAATGTGGCTTCCGCCGAGATGGGAGGTGTGTGATGAAGGGGCGGGAAGGCAAAGGGAAAAGCTAGGGACACTAACGGGGAGGCCTGTTTTTCCCCCGCCCTCCCTCCTCCGGTAGCGTAAAAGAGTAGAGAATTCCTCTCTTGAGCTGGGGGGGATCTGGTTTCGTTTGTTGATTGGAGCTAGAACAGAAGCGGAGGAGACTGACGACGGAAGTTACGGAGAAGTCGGGTGGGCAGGAACGAGACGTCTCCCACCCCTTTCCGCGTAGAAGTGGTTTTTCTGGCCGGAAGTGGGGGTAATAAGGGCGGAACTGGGCTGGGGAACCCAGGGGAAGTTCAAGGAAGAAATGTGCCCACCATCTTTCCTCTTTCGACCGCCTGTACTCGCGAAAATAGGAGACGGAAGCCACACCCTTCTTAGGGCGGAAATTGCTTCACCCAGGCCGGGTGAACAGAGTGGGAATGAGGCCTTGGAGGCAGGGAGGAAATAAGGGCGGGACAAAGAGGCAGAGGCGGGACTTTGGGAGAAGTTCAGCTCCGATTCCTAGTGCTCGGATCCGTTGCCCAGCCCTTAGGCTTTTATTGCCCATTGATGTTTATGTCATTGACTTGTGCAGCTTTAGCCCGTCCACTTGCTCTCTTGAGTCTTCAGTCTTTCCATTAAGAAAAAGGGGAAAAAAATCTAAATGAAAACACCGAGATCCTGAGTATCTGCCTTTTAAAAAAAGTGACTGCTTCGGTACGTGGTGCATCACTTTAATTCTATCAACAATTTTTTGCGTGCCTACTCTGTGCCAGGCAAAGGTAAACTTTATATAATATTACATGTACGATCTAGGTTAATCCTTATAAGGGTCAAGAGCAAGAGGGACACACTTAGGATCTGCTAAAATTGTTAACTTTCTGCAAAAATGGAAACATTTAAATGTGTGTAGCTATTTTCTGATGTTTAAAAGACTGACAATTTAAAACAGAGGGAACAAAACAATATTATTAATAAGCCAATATGTTATATTAACATCTGTTATAATTAAAACCAACTGTCTTAAAAAGAGACAAAAGTTGGTTCAGGCTGCTGTAACAATACTATAGACTAAGTGGCTTGTAAATAACAAATTTATGTCTCACAGTTATGGAGTTAGGGAAGTCCAAAATCAAAGCACCAGCAGATTTGCTATCTGGCAAGGGCCTGCTTCCTGGTTCACAGACAGCCATCTTTTTGCCGTGTCCTCACAGGGCAGAAAGGCAGTGAGGAAGCTCTTTGGGGAATATTTTATAAGGGCATTAATCCTATTTATGAGGACTCTACCGTCAAGATTTAATCATCTCCTAAAAGCACCACCTCCAAATACCATTGCATTGGTGATTAGGTTTCAACTATTAATTTGTGAGGGTGGACACAAACATTCAGTCTATAACAGCAGCCATGATTCTAGCATGATAATATCATGTATTTAAGTTAGGGGCTTTATAGTCATGTAGAATGTTGTCAAAACCTATTTTATGTTGTTTTTAAAACTTGAGAATAGTTTTAGTGTCTCAGATTGTTCCCTTCTCCAGCATTGACGTGTTGAATTTGTTTTTGTATGCATGTATAACTCTAAATGTCTATATGCTTGGGTATTTATATTCAATTTTTATACATTTCTGATGTACATTTCTAGTATCAATGCTGGATCATTTAAACTGAATTCACTTGAGTCGATTCAATAAATATTTCTTAAGAGAAATAAAGAAGAGCTCTTCAGAGGAACTGTGTAGTGCCCCACCAAAGGAAGAGACAGAGTTAATATAGGATTTGGGGAAGGATGAAACTTAGGCAAAATTTATATTAAGGAGAGCTCTGATGGATTCAGGGCAAAGCAGACTCTATGTAATGGAGCCAACATCATGCCTGAGTTGAGAAGCAGACACAGGGTCCTGTTTCCTTGGAAAGTACAGGGTTAAGAAAAATGTGTAATATTATCTCCAGAAACTGACTTTTGAAATTCTGCACCTGAGTTGGAAATCAGGACTACTTCTCTGGTCATCAAAGTGATTTAGACCTGCCAGGCAAGAGTGAGATGTCCCATTCTCACTACTGTTGCAATTTCAAAGAGCAAACTTTCTGACAGTCTATGATTTTAGATAACATGGTTCCTCAGCACTGTGTCCTTGGTGTTAACTTGTATAGATGTTAGTTTTTACAGGTTCATAATCCTAACAACTCTGTGAGGTGGTTACAGACCAGGCAACTGAGGATTAAAGAGTCAAGTCACTTGACCAAAGACAAGGTTCAAGTCTGAGCTGAGATTTGAATCTACAACTGATGACTGCTCAAGCCCTTTCAGTAACTCTATCAACAGAGACTTTAAAAATGGTCTGAGCCTGTGGTATATCCAGACAAAGGGATGCTATTCAGTGCTAAAAAGAAAGGAGCAATAGGGCTGTGAAAAGACAGGGAGAAGCTTAAATGCATACTGCTAAATGAAAGAAGCCAATCTTAAAAGGCATATTGCATGATTTCAACTATGTAATATGCTGAAAAAAAGCTAAGGAAACAAAAAGATAAGTGGTTGCCAGGAGTGGGGAGGGAAGGATGAATAGGTGGAGCACAGAGAAATTTCAGGGCAGTGAAACTATTCTGTGTGATACTATAATGGTGGATACCATTAGAATGTACAACACCAAGAGTGAACCCTAACTGTGGACTTTGGGTAATAATGACGTGTCAATGTAGGTTCCTTAGTTGGAACAAATGTACCCCTCCGGTGTGGAATGTTGATAACTGGGGAGGCTGTGCATGTGTGGGGCAGGGGGAATACAGGAACTCTCTGTATCGTCCTCTGTACCGTCCTCTCATTTTTGTTGTGAAAACTAAAACTGCACTAAAAAATAAACTTTAAAAAATGGTTTGAGGGCAGGAAGTTGCTTATGTTTTGATAAGGGAGAGAGGCGGCATTAGAGTGCATTAACTTTGTTGGAAAAAAATAAAAACAGTTCCTAAGGAATCAGACAGAATGTGTTTAGTCATTTATTCTGAGCCCCCAGAGAGGAATTGGATGCAAGTCCTGGCCCCTGTGAATACTTATTCTTGGAGGGGGAGACATAGTTGGACATAGGCACAGCTCAGGGTGATCAGGCAAAGGGCCCCTAAGGAATGTAGAGAACTCTGCTGGAGGGGCTTCTCAGAGACATTATTTTAAGTCAAATGGAAAAGGATGAATCTTGCTTTTGGGAAGAGCTCAGGATCTCATGAGGGTCTATCAGAGCATGTATCTATTGGAATATATGTTGGGGGCTGTAGACTCAGCTACACAATGGGACAGGAGTACTGAATGAAGACTACATGGATCAGGCAATCAGGATCTGAGTAGAAACTGGATGGAGATGGGTGGTATGATATCAGTTCTACATTGGACAAGGGGTGTGGTCAGAAGTGGAGCAGATTCACATAGGACTGAAGTGAAGGGAGTGTGGATTCCCAAAGGGAATGGGAAATGAGCTCCTGAAGTTAAACTTGGGTGGCTGTGTAGGAGGAATCTTGTTTGTAAAAAGAGGAGCAGGGATGGTGCTCCAAATTTGAGATCTCATTGGTTATTTCTGCAGAACGTCAAGATGGTACATGAAAGAGGCTTAGGATAAGGATGTCCTTTTGGACCTGGGCAACACCTTTCCTTCCTCTGCAATGAGAAATAGAAAAAGGGGTGGCATATTAAATAGTGCTCACAGTCCATTCGCTGCAATCTTGTCAGAAGTCAGGAGCCCATTGGCTTTTCACAACCACAGGTGAAGGTTGCTGCACCCGAAGAGGTAGTGACATAGGAGTATGAGCAATTTTTAAATCTACCCTTTTCTCCAAAGCTGACCTCTGTAGAGCCTACACCCCCACTCCCTCTGGCACCAATGAGATGACCTCATGATTTGATAGACAAGTAGGCCTCGCCAGTGGTGTGAAAAGCCCTGCTAGGTCCGGCAATTAGGGGAGGTGGGTTTCAGAGACATGAGAAAGACCTGTAAGAGGGGCCTCCCCTAGCTCTTTCCCCTACTCTCCACCACTTTCTGCTCCTTTTCTCGTGTCATTCCAAATTGTACTTTTTTACTCTTCCCAGCTGTGTGACCTTGGTGTATTGGGAAGCTTTAGTCAGCCCTGAGTAGCAGAGTCTTAGCCATGTTGCATGTTGCAACACTTCTCTCCTCTGTGACAATGGTCACTGGGAGAGCATGGCACAGCAGGGCTTACCTAGGTCTATTAAGGGGCAATCATATATCTATGTTATAACAAGGAGAGGGAAAGAAGGTGTGAAGCTAACTTTTGTATTTTGATCATTTGCATGAAGTTCTGAGAAGTGTTGCAGATTTGTTTCTCTCTAATCTGTTAGGGAATAGCCCACCTTCCCAAGGCCCCAAACAGGAAAGAACAAGTTGTAATTGGATGCTATCACCATCTATCATCTTGAATAAAAAGAGGGCCGTAGGTAACATCGGGAAAAAGAATCAGTGATCAGTCACATCCCTTGAGCTTTCTGTCTGCCCTTTCTAAGGGAAGGAAAGGGAATGGGGGTGTCTAGGTCTTCATATCTTTGGAATAGCTCATTAGGTTTTTGTATATTTGGAATGGTTTAAGGAGAAGGACTTGACAGCAGAAGACAGAAACAAATGCAAGTAAGATCTTAATGATATCTTCAGTAGAAAAATAAAAGACTTTTTTGAAAAACTCTTAGATATATGTCTCATGGAGTCTTGAATCTTACACTCTGTTTTATAAAGATTACTCACTGATTTCAGGCCTGGCAAGGAGAAGGAAGTCTCCCCCAATATTTTCCTAGACATTTTTCCTAAAATACTTGGGCAAGTCACTTTATCTCTCTAAGCTTGTTCCTTTATTTGTAAAATGGGAGTAATCATACATAGTTTACAGAGTTGCTGTGAGGATATGTGAATCACATATAGTGGGTACTCAAATGGTAATAATTGTCTCTATAGGTCCTTTAAAACTTAGACACATGAACCTCCTTAGTTCAGGAAAAGCCCTTGTTAAGACTAATTTGATTCTTCCTGTCTTGCTTGACCTCAGTTTCCCCATTTAAAAAATGTTATGTTAGATTAGCATTAAATTGGCATTCCATTGGCCAAAGCTGGTCTGAAGATAAGTTTTATTTGGCCCACATAGGATTTAAGGAAGAAAACTGAGCCAACATTTGAAAATTAAGACGTTTTACATAGTAATCTAGTTTTCCAGCTTCTCTTGAAAAATCAGAAGATGCGGCAACACTGAGCCCATATTCCTGCCTGACAAATAATCTGTTAATGCTTAAAGTAGGCTGCCCCTTTAGATAGGGCATGCGTTCTCAGTTTTCTTGGGCTCTTCTGGCCTTCTTTACTCATTTATATGATCTGCTTGGCCGTGTGGGCACTTCATTTTGTAGCTCTCTGGACAGCTGAAAACTGTCTATGGCTGGCACAGAGCAGGTGCTTAAATATTCAATCAGCGAATCACCCACTATCTCCCTCTACCATTCTTTCTTATCTGGCCATAGGAAATCTAAGTTTATACTTCTCTGTAGTAGTTATTGAATAACCAATTTTCACTTTGAGAAATGAATTGAACAAATCCTTCCTTTCAGTCAGATTAGACTATGTTAGACTGTGGTAATAAACAATCCCCAAATCTCAGTGGCTTAAAACAACAAAGGTTTATTTCTTCCTTACACAAACCTAGACACAAAATGAAAATACTCTCCTGTTTTTGAATGCATGGAGACAGACATGAGTGCACAGGTATGTACAGAATTATGTTTCAAATAAATACGCTGGAACATGAACTCATGCAAAAACCTATTTAGATACTTGTTAGCTCAAATTGCACCAACTCTCTCTTTGTTGAGAATTTAAAAAGGTCCCAAGATCCAAGGGAGGATAAGAGAATATCCACCTTTGGCCAAGGAAATGCCCATATTACCACAAAATGAACCAAAAGCTAATGGAGCACCTGAAAGCTTAAAAAAAGCCTGAAGCTTGTACTACATTAAATTCCATGCATAAATCCATAAGTAAAATACCAAATATGCAGTGCCTGAAGGCTGTCGTCCCCTTCCCTAGTGAGGCCTTCACCTCTGTTCTTCTAGCTTAGGAGGGAGATGGACCCCAGACGCCCAATATGCAGAGCCACGGAGGGGGCTGGGCTGGGTCGGAGAGAGGGACCAACAGGCTGGAATCCTCTTCCTCCAGCAGGAGCTATAAGGAGGAAGGAAGGGGCAGGAGCAGGTCACATCC